CTAACCTAACAGTATGTTTTTAGGCTGGGGGTGGAAACCCACACAAACATAGGGAGAACATACTAACTCTATGCAAATAGCACACCAGGAATTGAACCCAGGATCCCAGCACTGTGAAGCAGTAATGCCTTTGGCTAAGATCAAGTGTGTGTGGCTTGACTGCAGCATTGATTTTCCAAAGGTCTAGAAGGCGATCGAAGCTTCCTGAAGAGTGCTTAAGCTGGTATTGATTTGGATTGAGCCCATTGGGTTAAGGCCAAGCAGCAGCTGAGCTAGGTGGGAACCAGCGCTTTCCTTTCCTCTTATTTTTCTCTCTGCCTCCTTGGGCTCTAGGCTGGGAGTGGGTGCTCAAGGCCTGCCCACAGCACTTGGTATATCCTTGAGGCTCAGAAGTGCTATCCACTCCCTCTTTTCTCTGCCTCTCCTGCCTTATGGTTGGGCCCGTGTGTGTGGCTGCCGGCAGCACTCGTCTCCCTCCTTGAGACCACCAAAGGCTCTCTCTGTGCACTTCTCACAGTGCCTGAACCCGGTTTGGGATAACCCCAAGTGGATAAAGGCCAGGGTTTTTTTTTCCTATCTTTAGAGCCTCGTGCATGTGTATTCATCAGGAATTGCACAAGAAACACCATTCGATTCCACTGGAAGAAGATGGGGGAGGAAATGCCAAAACATCACCATTTTATGGTGACTCTCCTACAACGAGTGCTTAGACTTGCGATGGGGGGAATCTACTGCCTCCAGGAGAGTCAATCAGAGGGATATATGGAGACTTTCCTGGCATCTGACGGAAGCACCTTCCTCCAAGGACCAGGAATGGCCAGGGGGGGCAAAGGAGGTGCCTCAGATGGAGGAGGAAGAGAAGAGCCTTCCCGACATAGTGGCAGATAACAAGTACACCTGAGGGATGAAAGCGACAAGCTGACGTTTTCCAGGGAATGGACCCGGAGGCATGGGGGAAACTCTCATGGTCTCCCAGTATGCAGAAGACACAACAGTGTTCCTGAGCTCGGACAGGAGGTTGAAGAGAGCCCTGTAGGTCATGGAGCAAAACTTCAGGGCCTCGGGATCAAAGCACAACCGCCGAAAGAGCAAACTGAAGTTCTTCAGACCCTGGATGGAAAGGACAATGGCACCGGAAGGTCTCGAGCTTTGCACGGAGCCCCGCAATATATCGGGAGTTTTGTTCCAGAACCAGGACCACGAGACCATCAACTGGACTGAGCGGATTGCCAAGGTAAAAGCGAAGCTGGGTCTGTGGAAAATGCGGTCACAGGGAAAGTTATGGTGTTGAAAGCAGACATCCAGCTGGCTTTGGTTTACCTGGCCGTGGTGTACCCGCTTGCCGGCCAGACTCAGATGAGCGCTGCAAGGGTTGGTCTTCAAATTTGTCTGGGGCTGCAGGAACGAATACATCACAAGGAACCGGTTGTGCCAGCCAGTCGAGATGTGCTGCACTTCCCCCTGAAACTTGACTGCATCTTCTTCTGCAATCTCCGCAGGGCACTGCGGGAGCCCATCAGCCACAAGTACCAGTACTTTGTGAGGCTGTGGTTCTGCTTCCAGATGATCATCTGGTCCAGTGGACAAACACTGGGCCCAAAGCAGATTTTGATAGAAAAATAAAATACTGATTAACATGGGGCTTCTCAATGGTGAGGGAGTGCTGGAAGGGACTTTGGGCCCTGTACAGGGACTAAAGCAGAAATCCCTGTTTCTTGAGCTTCTGTGGAGGACTGGATAACTAGTTTCAGATCCAGTACAGGGAAATGGCATGGACAAAAGTAAGTGGAGGGACTCTTTCATTGTGCAAATCCGGCCCCATCATCCACTTGCACGGATCGATAAAGGACAATCAACTGATTTAGAAAGTTTTTATTTGATGTGAGTTTGATAATTTGTTAGAGTGTGTACTTATTGTGAAATAAATATGTTTTTTTGTGAAATAAACTTTAGTTTGCTAAAAAAACAATACTGATTAACATTTGTCAGCAGTAAAGTTCATCAAAACTACTGTGAAGACATAGAGTCATAGTAGTGTGCGTGGGTACTATTCAAAGCAATTCACATTGTAGATCTGTGATATTTGTCCCCTTCTTCTCATAGATTCCTGACAAGTGTGTACCTGTTCACTCCTCTCTGAAACCTAGATGCCAAACATCATCCTACCTGATTCCAGAATTGTTCATCGGGGTTGTCAGTAGTGTTGTCAGTAGGGCATCCATGGCACAACTGTCACATTTCCATCTCAAAAGAAAGGTGTTGCCAAATGCAGTACGCAATGTGTTGTATTGCTGGGATTGTGTCAATGAGCCCACAGGAAGAGCAGCAAGTGTGTGACTAATGTAGTGTAACCATCAGTCACTAAAAGTAGAGTTCTGTAGTGAAGACATTCCTGTCCAGATCAACACACTTGGACCTCCCCATCAATTGGCCTGTTGTTCTTAATTATTACAGTATCATTCTGATTCACACTCATTGTTTTGTGGTAGAGTTGTCTACACAACACCTTGATTCATCACTAAAGAGGATTTTGCACCACTGCTGGTGAGTCTACCTAAGGTGTTGCTCCAATAATGACACAAACGCTTTGTTCTCTTGATAGGTGGGGCATAGCAGTTCCTTTCTGTGTGTTTTTATTTTTACTGAGTTATACCAAGCTTGAGATTTGTAAGAGTAAATCATCTCATTGTCTGTGCCCACTCAGATTTCTCACTAATGAGGTGATTTAGTGGTTATACAAAAGTTAAAGTAATTAACAAGATCAGTTATGAATGATAAAACAAATTCACATTAGTCCCCACAGGCAAGAGTTATAGTCGAGCAATTGGCCAGGCCATGTTAGTTGTGCCTCCCTTGTTTTGGTGTATCAGAAACAAGGGAGACAAGGGAATACCCAACACTTTCAGATTTCCAGTGCAATGTTCTGTTTGCCAGATTCCCAGTGGCACCCTTCACAGTTTATGAGGCCTCCTTTGGTATGTACTTCATCAGAACATATCATTTAGTTGAAAAAAGTCATTTGAAATGTCAGGTCAGGTAGTGTCTTAACTGTTCTATAGTACTTGAGTGTGTTTAAAGGCCCCAGAGAGTTGGGATTATGTGTATTTTTAATTTCGTACTTAACACGTAAAGAATTATCTCGTCCAAGTAAACATTTACATTTATTTAACTTCAATATTTTAAAAACCGCACTCTTTTAGTCTTACAAACTTTTAAAATCGCGATTCTAATAACTCCGATGAAAACAAGATGCTGTGCGTCATATTAAGAATTCAGAAGTTTCCCCCGTTGCACCACTTCCCCCGCGAATGGAGCTTTTATGCTCTGCCTCGCAAACTACGTATACCGTTGCCTGTCAGCACCCTATGCTCAGACAGCTCTGCTGAGCGCTTGCGTGTCACTGGCTCTCTGTGCGGCGCACGTTACAGCAATGGCGGGGAAGAGTTCCGTTAATGATTAAGCCCATATATCCCATATTAAATGTGTTCATTGCATTGAATTCGAGAAGAACTGAACTGAAGTCCACCTAAGTGTGCCGACAGTGCCAGGACAGCAGAAGACTTCTTCACTAAGTAAGTATGCATTTTTGTTAGGCTCGGACAAAGATTTTAATATACTGTAGCAAATGCGTTTGTCTCTCTTCTAAATGTGCACTATAATGTTGCAGTTTACATTTTATACAAGTTTCAGTTCAGCGCTAACCTACATGTTTCTGGGTTGTGCATTAGGTTTGTTCTTTTTTGCTTTGCGTCCCTTGCTAGTTTTGCAATTTGTTATTAAGATATACTGTACAGTATTGTGCTTCCGTTTAGTAAAGTCTCATTATCAGTGTGAGCAGCTGGTTTGACGATTATATTTTTTTGTTTTTCACCTAAAGGTCTTAGTATAGGAGTTTGTGAAGCTATCCTTCCAGTGTTACGTTTTCTTAAAACAAAATGAACATTGTTTAGATACATGTATTGGTGCAAAATCGGAATATGATACTGTACGTTCTCCTTTTTATCGAATTGTTGCATCTCCCTGACAAAACTGAACATTGTCATGTTATTATTATTTGTAGTTTTTTTTAATATATTGTTCTGCTTTGTAAAGTAACCAGTTATACGAATTATATAGAATATATACGAGTTATACGTGGATGCATTGCATACGCAGTTTGGCTTCCTGTATAGTTATGTCAGACTCCATGAATTATTTTTTGTTGTTTAAAGGGTCAGTTGGAGTTAGTCTTTTTCCTTCTATTTCCAAACCTTTTACTAAGGAAATACTTTGAAATATTGGTTGGTGCGTTGAAAGTGGTGAGGATATGGTAAGTACAGTGAACTGAATTTCATCCCTTGGCACTGAAGTGCTAATTATACAGTACGTTACAGTTAACCGTTGTGTACCTAAACTGATTAAGTATATTGGTCTTATAGAAAGAGGAGGGTGCTGTGTAACTTGTCATAGAGATTGTAGTGGTGTGTCAATCAGAAGAATACGTTGTTTTTTCTTCCATTTAGATCATGGCTTTACCACGTGCGATTGTTTGGCTGGGGGGTTGCATGAAATCTTTGGCAAGACGTCCTGCCCAGTCTTTAGCCCCTTGGTATTCCGCGCGTGGAATGACTTCTGCCAAACGCTGTCAGCACACAGCACCACAATCCACAAGCTGTGCTTGGCAACTGCGAGATGACTGCTTTGGTATGTTATGGATGGGGGGAAGCTTTGATTTTAAGCAAAAACAGAAGGCTGTTGAAAACTAAAAGACGCCAGAAAAGCTAACAGAAAGGTTGAATTGGCAAATTCAGAACAATTCTTTGTATGAATAGTTTTATCACATAATTAGTGACATTATGGGTTATGTTTGAAGTCTCCCCTTTGTTTAAAGTTGAAAATGAAATGTTAATCACACTGTTTTTAATTATAATTAATGTAATTATACATGTAAGATCTTGGTATATTTCTTCTTTGACTCAAACGTATTAAACAGTTCAGTAAGAATGGTAATTGAAAATGAATCCTATAATAACATGACTCTAAAATTGTCATCAAATGTTTTCACGACCACCAAGCAGACTACTAAATAATGCTAGTAATTGCTGCTTATACATTTAAGCTACTTAGTAAATAATTTGTTTTCCTGAAGCTTTGCAAAATAAATGAGAAATTCCATTATAATGAAGGGCATCTGCAGTAAATTAAATCTGGCACATGAGAAAAAGATATTGCTTTTCTTTCCAGATTAATTCTCTAAGGGTGTATACAGTGTGCTCAGTCATACATCCTGTTTTTTGTCATTCTTGTTATGCCACTTAACTAATGGTGTAAGAACATAAAAAGGTTACAAACAAGAGGAGGCCATTTAACCCATTTAGTCAACCTGGTAGTTAGTAGTTAATTGATCCAATAATCTCATCCAGCCATGAAAGAATCGGGGGTGAAGGCCTCAGCAACAACACTGGGTAGCTCATTCTACAACCCTTTGGATAAAGGATACCTCCTATTCTCTATTTTAAATGCATTTCCACATAGTTGGCACTTGAAACTTTATCCTTGCAATTACTTATTCTGAGATTTCTGTTTAGATCCCAGAAAATGGTACGTAAAAAGTACTTTGCATATGTTTTGGTCTTTGGGAGATTAATCAGATGCTGTTTGATTTATGGTTGTCCAGAGCTCCGGTATGGTGGGTTAGTGATGCACTTCGATTACGTGTGGCTTCGTGATCACTGTCGCTCAGCTTCCTGCTACAATGCAAAAACCAATCAGCGAAACCTGGACACCGCCATTGTGGAACTGGCTATCCGCCCCTCAAAAACAAGAGTGGATGAAGAATCCCTCTTCCTGACTTGTGAGTTTTTCAGCTATACCTTCATGTTCTTGTAACAATATACTGTGTAAAACTGCAGTTTCATAGATTTCTTTTATGTTCCTAATGCATATGTGTACATCTGGCAAATAAGTGCTCCCTGAACTGGTATATTTTTTGTTCACATGTTAATGATTATGTTCAAGTTTCTTGTGGATGTGCGAAGCAAGTGGTGAATTATGACCCTTGCACTGTCATTACTTCTTGTTTTTTCCAGGCTTTCTGAACAAAACGAGCTGTAAAACGAGATCAAAATGTTACTGTAGAAATGGGTTTCCCTAATGAAAGAGCCAGGTTGATTTGTTATCAGTGGCAATGTAAGGGCAACATTCGTGTCATGCTGTATATATATTAAGAAATGGTGTAATTAAGTGCTGCTTGTGCATAATTAAAATATTGATGTTAAAATTGCAATCACTTAATCCTTTTGTGAATTTAATAATAAGTGACACTTGGTGATCACACCATCTAAGCATGTTGCTCTTCTTCAGTGCACTGTTTTGTGTTCCAATTTCCATTACTAGGCTTGTTGTCTTTCAGTTTTGTTTTCCCAGTTCCAAGTCGTTCTCTTACTTTTATGCTTGGCCTCTTACAGTATATAGTTAATTAGTAAAGTCAGTTAACTGTCAGGGGGCAGATTGCTATCTGCGAAGAGATAAACCATGCCGCTGCTCACAAAGCTTTTAGTCTTGTGAAAGAGATGAACTGCTGATGATGCATCCATGTGTTCTGATGACTATGGAAAATTGCACAAAATTCCATGGAGAGCTGGTTGCAATGTAACTGCCCTGGTTATGATCACCTAAGGACGTTTTAGTTCATTGCAATCCTTTTGCATTTTCGGTAATAAAAAATATATAAATTTATCTTTTCAGACCAACCGATCAGCTGTGCTTTTAAGTATGGTTATATCAGTTATATCTGTACCAATGACAAGTACAATATCTTATGGTTGTCAGTTCTCCTTATTACTTGGAATACGGGATTTAAATTGTGTTTTTTAAGTGTAAGAGATTCACTGGTCACTATTCATTCTGGTGAAGTCTAAATGTAACTGATTCACAGATATTCAGGGTGTCTTTGGGTATTGTTGTAGGGCCTGATGGTCATGTGACCCGATTCAGCCTGGCCTGGCTGGCTGAGAACAGCTATGAAGGGCAGAAGCAGAATGCAGTCCAGCCACGCATACTGTGGAACGCCGAGATTTACACCAGTGCCAAAGTGCCTTCAGTCAGCTGTGAGAACTTCATGAACTCTGATCAAGAGCTGAAAAAATTTCTGAAAGACTTCTTGCTTTATGGCATCGCTTTCGTGGAAGACGTGCCTGCAACTCTGGAAGCCACAGAGACAGTTGCTCAGCGAGTCAGTCTCATCAGGTAAAGAGTGAACAGTGTGTGTGAACACAGACGCTGCGTGGCTTCAGAAGAGTCCAGCAAATGCTCTTGAGTGAGACCTCAGGGAGTGGTGATGTTTTCCAGACTAATGTTGTAGTACTTTAACAGTTAAATTAGCACCACAGCCTCAGTCTAAGAAAAGTTATGAAAATGTGTATTTGCTTTGGTCAAAACTGGAATATATATGTAGTTCAAAAAGATCTTAATTTTCAACTGCATTTTCACTCATCAGATGTCTTAATTTATAGGTGACGCATACTTTATGCATTTTTGTTTGTCAATTAAAAGTATTGAACATTTTTACATTATTATTTTTAAACAAGGAATTTTTTTCATATAAAGAAGAAATAGTATAGTGAAATTACCCTGTACTGTTACTCAAAGAAACCCACATGTCACTTTGCAACATGAAGATGTTTGCCTGTACCTTTATGTTAATATAAAGGTGTCGATTCCCCTTTAGATCTTTTGGTTTCCTGGCAGCATGTGCGTATAATAAAGCTTTATTTAATTAAAACTCAGTTAAAAGCAAGGGATAATTTGTTCTAGTAACACAAATGGCACAAGTCTTTGTTAGAGAAAATGTGTTGATTTTTGATAGTGCCCGACCCTTGAATAGAGAAGAGGATTAGGGGAGAAAGGAACGAGTTTCAGCGCTGTACTAAATCTGTTTATTAAATACACAGCAGGTGGCATGCTGGAAAATGATGGCTTTATAAATCATGGGGCTTATATCACTTTTGCCAAAGGAAGAAAAGTGTTTGCAGTGTTTGTGCTTTCTGCTTTGGTGATAGTGTTCCTTTGCTTTTAGGGATCCACATGCATAGAGCACTATACAATTCAGACAAGTGTTTTTATTAGTTTTTAAATGCAATGTAACTTTGAGTTTATACACATATTTAGATGCTTATTTTGTATATGGTATGCTGTAGAGTTTATTTTGATTTATTCTGGTGCAAAATGAAATTGCACAACAGATAATTGTTTCAGAAACTAACATTTATGTCATTCTGGCTTTGCCTAGACCACTGGTAATGAGCTCACTATGAAAGGTGGCTATTTTGTGGGGTACCTCACAGTAGGAGATAATTGTTGTGCATGAATATCTTGTTTGTGAACCCCAAGATGGATGTTGAGGCCAGTCTAGGTTGGACTGTGTTGTATTATGGGCTTGTGTTCCTAGGTAGAAAGGATAGTCCTGGGTTGTTGACATGACATTATAATTAATAATCACTTAAACTTATATAGTGCTTTTCTGGACACTCCACTTAAAGCACTTTAAAGGTAATGGTAACTCCCCTCCACCACCACCAATGTGCAGCACCCACCTGGATAATGCGACGGCAGTCGTAGTGTACACAGTGCTCTCACCACATACTGTATCAGCTATCAGTGGTAGGAGGCCATAACTGGCCAATGGAAAATTTGGACAGGGTGTTTTCGAGAAACGACCTGGGATTTTTAATGACCACAGAGAGTCGGTACCTCCGTTTTACATTTCATCCAAGGAACAGCTCCTTTTTACATTATAGAATCACCCCATACTGGTCCCACTAACACCTCTTCCAGGTACCAACCTTAACTTTCCCAGGAGGTCTCCTATCCTGGGACTGAACAAGCTCACACTTGCTTAGCTTCAGTGGGTTGCCACTTATGAGTTGCAGGGTGATGTAGTTGCTGGCTTTATTTGACATTTAACATAATGGCTATGACATTATTTCCATGGTTTTTCCTTATCTATCACATTGCTTCTGTATGGTTTTAAAGTGCTGAGCTACTTGCATCAGGCTCTTCCTCCATCTAAGCTACAGCTGGACAGTTCCGGGTGTTGATGTTGATGCTGCATTTATTCATGTTTGTGTTAAAGACATCTTTAGAGAGATTTCTCTGCCTTTCATACAAGTGTAAGTCATTACTTATCTGGGAAAAAAAACCCTTGGATAGTCTGGTCTACCAAAGTTAATGCCATTGCCTTGAAACTGGATTGTGAGATGAAATTAACATTGTATTGTTTGTTTTCAGAAGATCTACAGGTACATTGATGTGTCCGTCTTGAGATTTCATCTTTGTGTTGTTCATGTTTCAGCTTTCTGTAGCATAAATTGGGGATCACAGCTAGTTGAAGAGAATGTTGTCTTGGTTTCAGGTTTGAACTTGGCGTTTGAAATTCCAGTTTCTTTAAGCGGATTAATGGTGCACTTCCACATTTGTTTGAATCTCTTTATCAGTGTCAGCTGTCCATAAGAGATTACTTCCATGATGCAGAAAAGGCTTATTTTTTTTCTAGATTCCCTCTCATGAAAATTAATAGAGCTGGAGACTGCTCATTTTGAGCATGTTGATGGAGGACTTTAGTTATTGAGCATCCCGTTTTCTTGTGTGCCTCAGTAAAGATGTTGAAGATTATCTGAAGATCTCCCTCTAATTAAGAACACTCTACAGTAGCCAATCTTCATCATTGTGCTGCTATTCAGATGTGGTGCACAATTTGAGAAAAAAATAATAATTTGGTAGTTTAGAGGAGTAACCAAAGTGTGGTGTAGACACATACTGTAAAATGGGTGTCCCCATCCCATCCAACACACACTCCCTACCAGTATGTAGGACTGTGGTAGTAAACTGAAGTATGCAGTGGAAACCCACACAAACACACAGAGAGAAGATACAGACAACACAGATTAGCACCCCCAGGAATTGAACCCTGGGCTTCAGCACTGTGTGGAACCACCATAGCACTATGCTACTATGCCACCCTAGTTTGACAGATATAAAAATCAAAACAGAATATCTGAGAGCTGTTGAGCAAGAGCTCTGTGTTTCATTGTCATCAATTACTGCCAGGATAAGGCATATGTTTGAGGTAAACTTAGATTAAAATTAGAAATAAGTTTTGTTTATAATTTTAATAAAATATGTTCAGGTCAATATCTGTATGGGGGGAGGGGTGTTGCATACTTTTTGTATTTATGTTACTGTGCTGTGGGATGGACAAAGGTGAGAAACACTACTGTACAGCATCACATGTGTACTAGAGCACCAACAGCTGATATCAAACGATTGAGCTTCCATTTGGTAATTTAGCTCCAAATAAGCTACAGGTAGGATTGTCACACATAGCATTCCAGTAAGGTTTATTGATCAGTGTTGGGGTAGCAATACAACCTTGCTCTGATCCTGTCTTACCTTCAAAGTGGCTTGTGATAGGCTTTTTACATTCTTTAGTGCAAAGAAAAATGTAACACTAATTAGGGACTAAGTATGCATCAAAAATACCTGCACTAACAATCATTTAAAACACAAAAGGAAAATTTGAACCAGGGCTGGAAGAAATAAAACAAATGAACAAAATGGTCTGTTTTTAACCCATGTTTGAATATCCTTGTTTTATTAATGGCTTGATATGCCAGATGTTCATTGTTTTAGGAAAGATGTCTATGTTGTACTGTTGTACAAGCCAAGGCCGCTGGTCCTGACACTTTTCATTTTTTTAGAGAGACCATGTACGGTAGAGTGTGGAACTTCACCTCTGATTTTTCCAGAGGGGACACTGCTTATACTAAGCTTGCCTTGGATCGTCACACAGATACTTCTTATTTCCAAGAACCATGTGGGTATGTCCATAACATTTTTTGTTACTTCACAGCTGCAAGTGTACTTTATATGCAAGGAATAGAATCCTCTCTCCAGAAATTTGCATTCTATCCATTTCTGTCTGATAGTTTTCCTAACTATATAAATTAGTTCGCGGAATGTTATTCCATTAAACCTCTATATGGATGTGCTATGTAAGAAATATAACAGAAAAATGTTATATGCTCCAGTATGTACTGTACTCTTTTTTTCATTTCACTAACTAATACAACAGAGCATTGCTGCAAATCAACCCGTTTGCTGCTGTTGTGAATTTTTTCTGTTTTCACTTTTGCCTTTCAAATGACTGTTTGTTACACCATGCCTCTGGAAGAATCGTCATTCCACCTCACATTCCAGCACAGTTCCCAATTAGCCCTTTTCCCTAGCCTATTTAATGCTACCTCACACTCTTCCCGCTGCTCAGTATTAGGGTTTTCCTGGCTAGAGCTACTCCCATTCTCATTGATATTTATTGCTTGGTTTTTGGCTTCCTGACCCTGGTTACGTCTCCTGATTTTGGTTTTGGTACTTTTGGTCTTGTTCTGGTTTTGACTCTCGGCTTCCTCACGGTTTACGGTTCCGCTTCTTGTTATTTGTACTTTTGCACCGGCTAGTTTACCTTTGGCTTTCGGACATCGGATTGTTCTTTTGACTACGCCTTTTGGAGTTTGTCCTGGTTTTCTGCATAGGGCCCTCACTACTAATTCCTAACACTGTTATCCTGTTCATTTGCAGAGACTCATGTTTCTTGTTCTTCTGAGATTGAAAGGGTTTTATTCATCAGAGGAGTTTCTAATGAAGTGCTCTCTGTCTTCATCGGATGCTAATCTCTGCCCTCTAATTAAGTCAAGGACTTAGTTTCTGTTAATTTATCCTTTTCAAACATAACAGCCTGATTATACGTGACATCCTAGAGAGCAAGCCAAAATTATTTAAAGAGCATTGTTAAATTTGGTTATTTTTAAATTTTAATTCTATGTGGGCGAGCTATAGGGGGCTAAAGGAGAAATTTATTTCTAGTCAAAAAGGGCATGTAAAGCGTGGCCACAAATACTTGGCTTTTTTCTTTGTACTGGATCTTTCGAAATGCTAGTGGCCTTTACTTTGACTCTTGCTTATTTATTGTTCAGTCTTTGCTTTCTATTCCGTTTCCCACACAGCAAGCCAACTGTGTACTGTATGTGTCACATTGGAATGCATCACTCCAAAGGATTTTTAAAAGACATTTAGCCCTTTTCCGGTCCAAAGTTTAAAAAATGGAATACACAGATTTGATTATTTTGTTGTCATAGAAACAAATCAAAAAATTTTTTTTGGGACTGTGCAAAACTGCCAATGCCCTAAATAATAATAATAATAATAATAATAATAATAATAATAATAATAATAATACTGGCATGAAAAACATTGATATGTACCTGCATGACCTGCACAGAGTTGCAGTTCACACAAATGTGGGGGAGACTAATTTTAAGAAATGTAACCATTTTTGTTGGTTGTAGGATCCAGGTGTTTCATTGTCTAAGACACGAAGGGACTGGTGGGAGGACTTTGCTTGTGGATGGCTTTCATGCAGCAGATAAGGTTTTTCAGGAGACTCCAGACAACTTTGACCTGCTCACTAAAGTGCCCATCAAACACGAATATATTGAGAACGTGGGAGAGTATCACAACCATATGATTGGAATTGGGCCAGTGCTCAATGTCTACCCATGGAACAATGAGGTCTACATGATAAGGTAAAGATAGTCACTTGCAGGTTTGGAAGTTGTTGTACAGAACCTTCAGAAGGTTAAGAGGACGATTTGCATTTGAAATGCACATTGTCTGTCTTTCCTAAAAGCTTTTCTCTTTCTTGCCAAATATAGTAATCCTTTCTAGATCACATGGGTAGCCTAGTTTTTACATGACCTTAAACGCAGGAAAGGCAAAAAGTATCTTCAGAAATTACATGTTTTGTACAGTGACTGCAGTGTCACGAGTGAATGGACATCTTTGTGTTCCTTAACAGCATGTTAGATTAGGAGGTTAAAAGTGCATTATACACAAATAACTCATTCACTTTGAAGCACATTTAACAGTTAAACAAGGTGATTATCAGGAGCCAGTAGTTTTCATAACTGAAAATTAAAGAAACTCATCAACTTATACAAAGTGCCTACACTAATGGTATTAATGGGTAGTTTAGTTTCTTTTACCAAAGGAAAGAAAATTGAGTTGAGGGTGGTGTTTTTCCATGTTCTAGATTTTGGTGTCTGTTTCAAATCATTAAAATAGAAGACTTAAATTTTTTAAATTCTCTTACAGGTACAATAACTACGACCGGGCAGTAATCAACACTGTTCCTCATGATGTGGTACAGCGCTGGTATGTAGCACACCGAGCTCTCACCTCAGAGCTGAGAAAGCCTGAAAATGAACTCTGGGTCAAGCTCAAGCCAGGAAAGGTACGGTTTTAGTGTTTGTCTAGTTTATGTGTTGTCTAGTCTTTATGTCAGTGAAGTCCTAGATCTCTTTAGAGGAAGCCTGGAAAGCTTAAAGTTTGTTTGAAAGACCTTCACTGTAATTGATTTGTGGGAGGGGCTGAGCCATCTTCGGATGTTTTACAAAAACCCTAAGTACTGTAGGTCTTTTGAGTGGTTGTTTATTGTTGGGGATTACATTTTTAATTTATGTCCATCAGTTTTGTCTATAAAGCCCATGCTTGCTTCACATATTTTCCCACAAACAGCACATCAGTCTTGTGTATAGTTCTTCACACAAATAAATAAAAAAAACCTTCCATTCTTCCAGCTCTTTGTTCTAGATGGCAATGAACTTCATAGGAGTTTATTTTACTTTGTAAATAAAAGATTACAGCTGAATTCCCTTTACAGTTTTATCAAAAACAGATTCCTTGCATAGTTAATACTGGCAGTATTTAAATTCCTTTATTATGTCTGGTTATTTTTTCTTCTGTTTTGTAGGTTCTTTTCATTGATAATTGGAGAGTTCTTCACGGTAGAGAATCATTCACAGGCCTGCGTCAACTGTGTGGCTGTTACCTCACCAGGGATGATGTTCTCAATACAGCAAGATCACTGGGACTCAAAGCCTAAGTCCCCCCATCAAAATTTCCAAATGACAGCACTTACAGTACGAGCTTTAACAAACCAAAGCACTCCCTTATCTTCACACTCACATCCTAGAGAGTCGCGGCTTCTGCTGGCTTTTGTAATGCCAGAGTGCTCAGGTTTTGAATTAGTTTAACTGTTGAGTAATTGGATACATATAGTTTTTCTCTCCAGGTCTGCAAATGTTTAAATGCACCGTACAGTACCTGGAACAAATTGCATGTTTTAATCAATCACCTCAAGAAAGTAATACATACAAATGTCTTTCTGCCTGAGAAAATAATACATTTCCATTTAAAACTAAATCTAGAGACATCTCTGCACTGTGGGGACTGACCTAAGATCCCTGCCCTAATCAAAAACTAGGCTATACATCTCAGCACTTTAACTGATAAGAAATATCCATCAAAATATCACTTGAAACAACACAGAATTTCAAATTTTTATAAGTCTCATTGTGTAATGATGAAAGCACTTGAATGTCCAGAGGTCAGGTAGCTACATGAAGAACTCCTTTATCGCTTGCTTGCAGTAGAATTTTCTAGATTTGGGTAAGTGTATCTGGAAAGCAATATTTAAAAAAGAGAAAAAAAAAGATATCCCAAGTGTCTGCTCTGAGACTAGACTGGTCTTTTTTATTTTTGCTCAATAAAATTGATTTTTTTAATTAACATTTTAATGAATGAGACCTACGGTATATGAAATTTATTTTATTTTGTTTTTTTCATTGTGCCTTACATTGTATTAAAAATTGTGAACCGTCATGTAAAACATGCTAGACACTTCTGTCCAATACAGCATTTTAAGATTCATGATTACTGGAAAGAAGTGAAAGAAGAAATACTTTGTTCTTTTTTTGAAAATATTTTTCATCTGTGATATGAAAGCTGTCTTCATCAGGCAGAGTAATCTGGAATAAAGTATTTCTGAGAATTTTTAAAACACTAAAAAAAGCCAATGCTGTTTTGACCTTTTTGCATTACAAAATCACAGATTTTCCTCCTACGTACGTCACTGGGTCATGATTTCATGTATTTCTTAAGTGTATGCTTCATATTCTAAATAAATCACAAACAGAATGCCTGAAAAATTCTAACATTTCTTCCAGAATCCATGAATTCAGATTGCACTGTGGTAGCCATTGCAGTCTAGCAGGTGAAAGCTTGTTCTCTTTCAAAGATCGAAAACAGTCATCACCAATGGGGATGTGCCATGTCACTAAAATTTGCTGGTCTAGTGTGCTGTATCAATCCAGAATGTCCCTGCAACATCACTCTGACCTGTCTGTTTTTCCTCTACAATCCCAGTGAAATTGTTTAATCTGGGCCATGGTTTGGATTCTGCAGATAACTGTTTACTTTCTGGAGCACTGCTGCCTTATTAATATTGGGTTCTGTTTTTGTTTTTTGAACTCATACGCCTTCTGTGTGGAGTCGGCATGCTTTCCCCATGTCGATATGGGTTCTACTTTCCTCCTAACTCTCTGAGACATGCCGGCAAATATAATTGGTATTTCTAAATTGTCCTTGTTTGCAAGTGACCCTGTGAAAGGCGGATGTCCTGTCCAAGGTGTGGTCCTGCCTTGTGCCTTTTGCTTCCAGATTAGACTTTGGGTAGGTGAGAATGAGCAGCTGTCTGGTAATTGGAGTTGGATTTGCTGGACTAAGATCAAGAGCACGATTCTTTCCATTCTCCAGGTTGATAATTACCAATCTTTCTTTTGTTCTCGTATTTGCTTTCCTTTTCTCTATAACAGGCTTTCTACGTCAGACTTGAGCATACTTCACCCAAGAGCTTTTTCTTGTAAATATGAGCTGGATGCTCCGTTGTAGCTGTAGTACTCTACTCTTCTTCCACTTAACTATTGTGTTGAATCTGTCAAGTTGACCCTTGATGACTCCTCTTGACTTTGACATAGATGGTTTTGTGACTACTGCATGCACCCCTTGACTCAAGAAGTGCTATTCTTCAAACCCTGCTTACTGACACTCCCTTTGCACTCACCTTAACCCTGCTGTCTTTTTCACCTGAATAACACTGACTGTCTTTGACAGTGCCAAGAATTATTTTCAACTAAGGGCTAATGGGAGTATCTTGTCCAAGCTCCCTTCTTCCAAACTTGCCTTTGGTTTGGCATTAATTCAATCATGTGATGCACACGTTTTTATGCATCCATTGTCTAGTGATTTTGTTAAAGAAATAAGCAAAACAACAAGACATGAGGAGGGGAAGAATCTATGAAGCTCCTTAAGCTTTCAGGTTTTTGTTTTTGCCCTCTGTGAAATTTCATCTTAATTGACATTGAAGCCCTTGTATTTATGTTGTTTTTTTTTAGCTGCTTGCTCACTACAGTATGCTCCTGAGTCACAATGCACCAGTTTACAGTGCTTTCAGGATGACACCTAACCTGGCTTCTGAGTCTGGTTTTTTCATAAATTTGTGTTGTATGATACGGGTTCCTGCCAACTTAGGTATGACCAACGCCTGTGCTTCCTGTCCCCAAGAGACATACAGGACGTTTTCACCAGAGCACAAGCCATTTCTGGTGTTCTCCTTGATAGAACATTCCTGGATGAGAACTGCATGACTCTTATGTGGGTTTCTCCATCTACAGTATGTTACCAGGTTTTATAATCTCAATACCATAGATGCTTTGACCTCTATGAACCCCTCTGTCCCTGCTTCTTTTTGTCCCTGACATTAACTATTTAATTATTACACTTATATCCTTGGCTGACGTCCTTTCTTGAAAAGGAATTATATTTTTTTTTACATTCCATATTCTCGAGATCACACTCTACTGGCCTCTGTTTCCTTCTAAAAATGAAATTGCAACATCCTGGCTTCTGGAGAAAGAAGGATGACCAAGAGTGACTTGCTCCAGTACAATTGAAGTGATTTTGGCATATTGTCTCAGCAAAACTCTGTGAAATGGCACTTTCAAGTCTGTGAAGAATCAAGGAATCTTGTGTTTTTCTGTATATACAGTATTACATTTTAATCATCTGAAATGCAATCTCAGTTGCTTTTAAGAGCTATTGGAATAACTCGTTTAAAGGTTGTATTCTGTCTCTTATTTCTTATCAACTGTGTTAAAGCTCAAATTTTAAAATAAAAAGCCACATTAAACTTTTACGAATTTTCCACTTTTTAAAAAAAACTTTTCTCTCTTTTACGTTGAAATGGTATATATCAGACAGTTTTAATGGGGAAAATTAACTTGCATGATTAAACTGAATTTAAAATTGATAACTGTTGATATTAAAGTCCAGAGAATAGAACCTTATTAAAGCCTTTTCTTATATTTAATTTTTCATCCAAGTGTCTTTCACCATGCTTTTTTAGTTGCATCTTCTAAGATGACCTTTTACAAATATAACTATATACAGTAGCACATAGCATTCTGTGCAACAAAATTCTCAAAGCCATTCTAAATGAGAGGGTATAACACATTGAGATACAGTACCACTGGCCTTTAAAATTATTCTGTAAAGTAATTGTTTGTTTCATATCCAGCCAGTGGAAACGGTCTATTCCAATTCTTTTTATAGTTCAATAGCAAGAAGTATTGTTAGTAAAATTGCTAATTTTGTTTTATATGCCTGGACTTGGGAAGCTATTGAGTAGAGTAAATTCTGATAACCACATCTTTCATTAAAGAAAATAGTGTTTTACATATAAAAACCTCTAGCTGATTAGCAGTACCATACATTCAGTTGCCAGTCTGAAGTGTGAGAAATGGGGAACATTATTAACCATAAATTTAAGAGGCTATTTGAATCCAGTGATCACTAGGTCAAAAAAGAATAATATTAGTATTTCATTGTTTCTGAATTCTTAATAAGAAATATTGATTTAGAAAATCCCTGTATCAGTGGATACCTTGTCTTGATGTTTATTTAAAATGATGTTTTCTCATCAGTGCTTTTATAACAATAATGATGACTAGATAGGGCTCTCTCCTGTTTTTTTAGTTGGTCTTCTGGGACTTTATAGAGTCTAGTATGTTTCAAAAATTGAAAAGTTAAGTCACAAAGCTATTGCAATGGCAAGGCCTTTACAACTGATTTTAAAAAGGCCACTGAACATGACAGCTGTTTCTTATGTGGTCTTTGTTATTTGATTTTGGTTTCATATGTATATGTATATAAAATGCTTTCAATTTGCATGTTTATAATAAGATAAAATGGTGACAATACTAATACACAACGATATACCAAGATTAGAAGATTACGTCTGGTTGTTGGAATTGCCACTTTTATCTTCTCTTCTTTGCATTTTATTTATGATGGAATACAACATCTTTTCATACAGTAAGTCTCCAAATTAAGCCCAAATTGAAAAAAAAGTTACTTTTAAGTACCCTTTCCAAGTGATTGTCGTGGACTGGGATCAGTTTATTGCTGAAGGAATAGTAAAAATAGGCCCCTCATTTCAAAGTGTATATGGAATAAGTGGGTACTGCTGTACCATATTAGATATAATTTACCTGAATATACAGTACTATATTATTTATTTTATGTTAAACTTTTTGCCTTAAAATCTGAACCACACTGGCTTAATACACCAGAGCCTATCATGGTTCCTTTGGTGTTAAGCAGACATTATGCCACTCTCCCCTCAGGACAGGACTCTGGTTCATCACTGGGGTTACCACCCAATAACTGATGGTCCCCGATGGACTGCAGCAAGTGGGGTAAAGTCTGCAGAAGGGAATTGCACCCACAACCCAAAGTGAGTCCAGAGACTTACCCACTACGCTAAAACTCCCCCAAACAGCACATGAACATACAAAATGTGGACAGCTTTTCTTGTACCGAACTATATCTATATAACTGGGGCTATTCAGATATAGCCAAAGGGAGTTAACCCTAAGGGCAAAATATAGCGTAGACAAAAAAAGGCAGCTGGGAAAACCAGAGAAAACTCTTATGAATGAGACCCTGCATACTATAGACACGAGATCAAATACTTTGGCTGGATGCATAAGTCCTGATCACTCTATATTGTATATTGTAATTATATTAAACTTTACATTGATTGCCCTAGAGTTTTGTTAATCTGGTCTAAATCCTGCTTGTTGGTGGGCAGAACTAAACAGCCTTGGAGTGGCCGTGGGCTGCTACCTCTTTCAGTACTAATTGTGAAGTGAGTGGCCCAACTCCTGAGGTCACTGGAGGCTAAATTGCCAAGTATATAGCAAAAGTTTGCACCTTTTCACTGTGTGTTAACTACCAAAATGCATGACGCATGAAGACAAAAAAAAAAGATATGAAGAATCATCAAAAATCCCTACAATTTTGATAGTATTATATAATTATTTTTAACACCTTTCTTCCAAATAATTATTTGGTAATAAACCTACTCAATTTGGAATTGGCAATTGTGTGTTTTCATGTCTCGGCTCACAGGTGCATATCCTGTACCAACACATAGTGACAACAAGGAAGTGCAGACAGATGTGTCTGGCCTCCCCACCTTTGAGTCATTGATCTGTTAATACATCTCAGGTCACGCAGCTCGCCACAGGAGGCACTTCTCCAATTGAAGGAGAGGCAGTTCCTTTGCCAGTCCTGGTGCAGGCTTGCAGTAATTGCTGTTTTGTTGGGATCTAAAAGCGCCCTTGCTAACTAATGCCAACCCTACCCTGTGCTGTGCTTAGTCAATTATGTGTCAACCACTTGAGAAATCCCATCACAGTCACAGTGACCTAACCCGGGCTTGGAACACACAGTGCCAGTGCCAGTCCTCAAGTAAGCATCTTCACATATTGAGCAACTCTGGAGCCCACATATAATTATTGCTTAATACATGTTATAGTGTTGTTCTTCTTAATACTGGAAACAAAGAATGAAGCCCTGGCGAAGAAACCAGCCACTTAACCTAGCCCAAGCTAATAATAACTGGCAGAAATCAGCTTCATTATTCTGAAGATAGAACTTGTTTTGTGTTTGCGTTGTAAAAAGGGCACCCTGACACCATCTGTTATGCAACATCTTCCCTTAAATACAATAGAAATAGAAAGTTGCGCAATTAAAAGAAAATGCATTAATTCAATAGTACATTTTAAGATGTGATTTTGAGAGACGGTGCGAGAGGTGGTTTTCTTTTTGGGACATAAAATAAATTTTTAGGTCTGGCTCTAGCCAGAGGAAAGTGCTCTTGTCATTACTGCCAGTAACCCCATCAATAGAGCTCTTTGAAAGGCTACATCCCTGTGCGTACTTTTTGTAGGGAATCATGTTTTTTTAAGGCTTATTACGTACCTCTATTCAATCACTCCTTTTGCCAATAGATTCTTTATTTTCTTTCTAATTCATATTCTGCCTAGATCCCAAGGGGACACTATCAGCCTTTGTCTAAACACCCCGAGTCCTAGTCTTACTACTACTTTCATCACAATTTATTGCAAAAACCTAAAAGCAAATTAAGAAACTAAGATGTTGGTAATACATTTGGTTGAAGGGTTGGGAAATACATTTTTTAACAGTGAAAAGATATTAATACAACTGTGTGGCTGCTTCATCACAATAGGCTCTACAAGGAGTCTGTTTATGATACAATCATGGGATTAGTGAAAAACCTGATGTACTGAATCTAATTTCTAATTACAAACAATAATCCAGATATTATTCATGAATCCTCCCTTTCATGTATAATTTCATTTCATGGAGTCAAACTAAATTTAGGAGATGGAAAAATCCTGTTTAGAAAGGGTCCTCTCAATATGGAGCTCCTGTTTAAACATGACAGAAAACGAATGTCAATAACTTTAGATTAATAAAAAGAATGTCAATAACTTTAGATTAATAAATAAAATGATACATCACATCACTTTCAAAAGCCACTTATCTAATTCAGGGACATGATGAATTAAAGCCAATCCCAGGAAGCATTGGGCGAAATGTGGGATGCACCCTGGATACTAGTCCATCACAGGTTTCACACAGACACCAAAAACGCACATTGTCATACCAGGGTCAATTTGCAGAAGCCTACGAATTTACCATCATGTCTTTGGACAGTGGGGCAAAAGCAGAGCACCTACAGGAAACCCATACAAATACTGCGGAACATGCAGAGTCCTTGCAAGCAGCAAACCAAAAATTGATCCCAGGATCTCAGCATTGCAATGCAGCAATATTAACCATTGTTCTAATTTACAACAATAATAATATCAATAACTCAAGTCGATACGATTAATATGTCCTTACACTAGAACTAATCCATCCTTAAAGTAACCTTCACACTAGCTCGCACTAGACAGGGGAGCTGAACTAATAACTCGCATATTTGTTAAGGCAATAGAAATGACATCATGTAGGACAGACTCTCGCGGTGTTTCACGGGTCTAAGACTCGGGAAAGGACATGCGCAGTGAACACCACACGTGTTCCTTTCCACATTGAGAGAGTGAAGATGGCGGACGTAGAGGGTAGGCATGGAAAATAATTTTGGGTTTTTCTTTATTTTTATATGCAATTCGAGGGGAAATAGTAGTAGTCAATTGTACTGAGATACATAGGACAAAGTAATTCAAGCTCTTTGAGACCGATTTAAGACTGGATCTTTTGTAGAGAAAATAAATCTCACCTCGTGTGTGCTGCATGGGGCAAGTGTGCAACTAGACGATAAATGATCAACTTGCCTGTATTTTTACATCTTAAGTTTGATCAATCCGGCTCTTACAACGTGTATATCACTATTTAAGGCGTCTTAATTTTAATAATTGCGATCTTGAATCTTAATATGTAGGGTACAAACGCATTAAATGCTGTGTTTTTGAATATAAACTTTACAGTAGGAAGAGATACATGAATTTCACTGTTGCAGAGGATGTACCTAGCTTTTTTGCATTCGATATTTTTTTATAATCCACAATGTAGTCACTTTCATCGATGAAGTAGCAAGCTTTTGTAATTTTGTAATTTTGTTTTTGAAGTTAAAACCGAAAGTTAACATTTGCTTTAAGATTGCTGAATGCTGCACGATATTACTAAAAACGATTATTCTATACGTTTTAATTCAGTGAGTCAATTGTGCTTATGGTATTTTTTTTATCCATTTAAAAATTAATGCCTTGCACACCGCCAAATGTGGTCTTTTTCTAGTCACCACGTGTTTTCAGAGTCTGCCACGTGGTTGTATTGAACAGTTTTCCCTAAACCAATGCAGCCCGCATGTCTATTATTAATCAAATAAAGATACATTATGTGCGAATTATGATCATGAATGCTCTGAAGAGTTGCTAAATTAGAATATTTTAGGGACTTGACTTTTCCTAATTGTCATTGATGATGGAAACATGATGATTTTCTTATTCCAAGAATTTATTTTGTTTAATAATTATATGTAGAAAGCCCGTTGTTTTTTTCCAGAAGAGTTTACAGATGTAAGAGTTATTATAGGAAAGTAACCTTTATTCATATGATTATTCATATCAAGAGACGTGATGTGCTAATGTTCCAGCAACAGTCCATGATTATTTACTGAGAATGATTAATTCCCACGGTTTGAACTCTTGGGTTTCTTCTTTTCTCTTTTCTCAGTTTCCTCAGCTAAGAAGCACAAGAAGAAGAAGGAGAAAAAAGTTGCCGATGATGAAGTTGGGGTAGGTTCCATGTAACATGGCTTTTTTGGAATGTTAGCAACTTTTTTGGGTGCAGTAAACTTTGAAGTTTTTATAATTGCTTACATTGTAATTTAAAATTTTCATAACATCAAATGGATTTTCCCCCCCGCTTTAGGAACTTCAAGAGATGGGTGATTTCCTCATCAAACCGGAGTCCAAAATTCCAACACTTGATACCTCTCAGTGGCCTTTATTGTTGAAGGTAACTAGATAATTATTATACGTTCCTGTCATCCTTCTAGGAAGCTCCCATGTATAGTGTTGTATGTGAGATGATGAACTTGTTTATCCATTCTCTGAGCACTGCTGGCCTCTGTCTCTGCAACACTCTCGGCCTGTTCTAGGCCTAAGTGTCTCGGCTCCCAGACTCGGCTTGGCCATTCCAGTGTTCTGCTGGGGGCGGAGCAGGAGTCTGGAGAGCTGGAGCAAGAGGCAGAACCAGCCTCTGCAGAGACGAGTAAACAGTCTGATCGCACAAGTTCGATGGGGAGGGGTTAAGTAGCCTGTTGCACAAAGAACATCCAATGATCAGTACTTGCCTCACATGACAATATAGCTCACTTTGTTGGGATATGCACAATGTAAGACATCTGCTTCTCAATCCAAAAAGTAACAGATTTATACAGAATTATTTCCCTTATCACTGTACCTGAATGAAGGTGCAGATCACAGTTCTACAAATACACAGTGTTGTATATGCGGTGCTGGAGGGTTCCAGTAAGGCAGCACAGCACATTAATGTAAATACCATTTCACCTGGCCTTGTGCCTTTTTGCTCATTAAAGATTTTTTTCAGGAAGTGTACAGTAAGCAATATATAAAAACCTTGACTTTCTCCTCTCTTCCATTCCATTAAGTATTAAATGAAGAATTGGGTGACACTTTGAAAAGTAACACTTTATGGATGGATGGTGTAGGTGTGACAAAGGTGGTATGCTAAATACATTTGTGTAAAATCTCCTTTTTCATTTGTTTTTTTTGTAGAACTTTGATAAGCTGAACATAAGGACAGCACATTATACACCTCTCCCAAGTGGCTCAAATCCCTTGAAGAGAAATATTCAGGATTATGTCAGGTACAATTTTTTTTTTGCTGTATCTTTAGGGATCTTGGTTTTCTAATTGAAACTAATGCTGGCAAAGTCTTAACTTGAAAAATGCACTTAAACTCTTCGTCCTGTGTGAAATGTGAAACAGGTTGTCTGTTTAACATTGAAAGATTTATTAATCTGTTTTAGGTATTTTAGTGCTTACAGCAGGAAGATATTACCTTACAGCAGACAAATTTACATTGTTAGAATTTTCTACTTTAAGAGTTGTCTAAGATCTGAGAGAATGCTTTAATTTCATAGATTGATGACATCCAAGAAGCCAAATGATGTTTTTATGTAGATTGCATTAGCACTCTGTGCAAAGATGACTGTCTATCTATCACCCATGACTGATGGCTTCAGGGAGAAATGTTAAGGCAACCATTACAACTCCTTTAGTAGGCCTTGTGTTATGCATTTGTTTTTTCTGAGTTAATACTGAGTGATCTCCTATTCTTAGAAGTTATACTGAAATATTTTAAAATCTGTAGGACCGGTTTTATTAACTTGGATAAACCCGCCAACCCATCCTCTCACGAAGTGGTGGCGTGGATCCGTCGGATTCTTCGTGTGGAGAAAACAGGCCACAGTGGCACTCTGGACCCTAAAGTCACAGGCTGTCTCATAGTGTGTGTAGACAGAGCCACGCGTCTGGTGAAGTCCCAGCAGAGCGCTGGTGAGTGGGTATTTCTTGTCTTCTTTCAGTCTCTGAAAATCGTGAATTATAGTCACTTGTAAGTGACACAGGAAAAAAAGCAGCTTCTCCTGACTACTCTTTTGCTATTGCTTTCAGGCAAAGAGTATGTGGGAATTGTTCGGCTGCACAATGCTATTGAGAATGAGCTTCAGCTTTCCAGGGTAAGTTTTATTTTAAAATTGGTCTTTAATTTAGAAAAATGGTATAGTAATTCCACATTTATGTGAACCAGTTTAAGACAGGGTTTACGTTTTATCATTAAACATAAAAATTGACCTAATTTCTCACTTACAGCATTAAGTCATTTTATTCTTTATTTGATTCCTTAGCAAATCAGTGGAAAGTAGCTACATATGTTAAATATAGTTTATGTTCAGTATGGCTATTGCTTGTCTGTTTGAAGAAAAAATGTCAAAGTACAAACTGTCCACAAGCTTAATAAATCAACCAAAGCCTTTTAGAAATCAGTTTAAAGCAGTTTTTAAACGTGTTTTTCACAAAATAAGTAAAAATTTCAGTATTGGAGGTCAAATCATTTAAGTTTGCTTGCAAAGAAGTTAATGTACATTTAAGCTATGTCACTTCAGCATCTGCATTTTCACATAAGATGACAAGGGTGGCTCACCTGTTTTTTCCTGTCTCACTATTCCACAATTAGCTTGCTTTTTTATTATGAGAGGAAGTCATCTACTTTATGGGGTTAGACACTTTGACTTTTATGAAAGTGGGTTTATGGGACTTTTTTTTTGACTGAAATGTTTTTTGCTGTTACAATGCTTAAAGCCTCAGTTTTGAGTAAGCACACAGGAAAAATCTTGCATTTGTTGATGCTCAATCTTCTGGATGAGCTGTGTTGACGTGCTCTTCCTGCGGCAGCAATGTATGTGAGATGATGAACTTGTTTATCCATTCTCTGAGCACTGCTGGCCCCTGTCTCTGCAGCACTCACGACCTGTTCTAGGCCTGAGTGTCACGGCTCCCAGACTCGGCTCGGCCATTCCAGTGTTCTGCTGGGGGTGGAGCAGGGGTCTGGAGAGCTGGAGCAGGACTGGAGGCTGTAGCAAGAGGCAGAACCAGCCTCTGCAGAGACGAGTCAAACAGTCTGATCACGTACAAGCTTCGAATTGGCTTCCGGTTAAGTCGTTTGTCTCGGGTGTGTCAAGTCTCTCTCCTCTTTCTCAGGCACTGGAAACCTTAACGGGGGCTTTGTTCCAGCGGCCTCCTCTGATTGCAGCTGTGAAGAGACAGTTGAGAGTGAGAACCATTTATGAAAGCAAACTCATAGAGTACGATCCAGAGCGAAGACTGGGTAAGGAAAAGAGAGATCTATTACTTTACTGGATTTTCTGTTTTCTTCAGAGCACAGCAAAGCTGCAAATCCTCCATTGCAAAATAATGTAAAGATTATTAAGAATCTTGCTAATATTATTAGTCATGATGAGGAACGTCAGTGCCAAGAGTACAAAGGGGTATTTACTTATAGGTTACGATAAGAATTAAGCTTGAGTGAATTTTCTGCTTTCCTTAAATACTCGGAAGAAAACTTAAATTTAGGATGGGCATTAGTATCCTAGTTAATGATTAGCTCCAAACAAGAGGCCAAATGATGTGTTGTATAGATTGCATTAGCACTTTGTGCAAAGATGACTATTGATCTATCACCCATGACTGATGGCTTCTGGAACAGTGGTTAAGAGGGGTGTTTTTGAACTTGGATTATTCATTGTAATTGTTTAGTTACTAAATTAATCTGGCAGGCCTGATATAAAAGGCGTACCAGTGATTTGTTTTAAAATTTTTGGAATTAGGTAAATTGGTGCTTCGTTGTTCTGAACACTCAACTTTTAAATGCTAAATTTAAAAACAAATTTAAGGCCAGGTCTCTGATGATTAAATGGAACTGCTTTTGGACTTTTCATGAAAAAATGAACGCAGACCATATTTGCAGTGATTTACCAGTTCATGTATTAATGGTGGGTAGTATTCACTCCAGTCATGTTTCTAACTGGTATTCTGCAGGGATATTCTGGGTCAGCTGTGAGGCAGGTACCTACATCCGGACCCTGTGTGTTCACCTTGGCCTCTTGCTGGGAGTTGGGGGACAGATGCAGGAGCTTCGGCGAGTGCGGTCTGGGGTCCTGGGAGAGCGGGTAAAAAAACTGTTTTCTCCGCTTCCCTCTTTCCAACCAGAGGCTTGTACTGAGGTCAAGGGTCTCCAGTATTGGTCTTGTTGGTCTGAAATAAAATCTTTTTATAAAACCGGCTTTTGACAGGATAAACCAGCTGATGACTGGCTTTATTGGACCTATTTAACAGTTATTCTCAGGCTCTGCTTTTTCAAAGAAACACCAGGTTTAGACCTATAAAGGACCAGGATTGGACCATTCTGGCTTAAGTAATAAATGTTGTCCAAAGTGGTTGAGTTCAGTGCTGGGCTTTTTCCCTGGCTCTGGTAATTGAGCTTTGGTACATGGAATGGCATGGAGGAGGATATGAGTGGAATGGTTAAATTGTTTTTCCATTTCATTGAATCCTTGCCTACATTCATTTTGTTTTTCATTGTTTTGAATCTGAGTCACTATGGATAAAAGCAAAATTTCAAAGCTGTACTTTGTTACACGGTACTCTTTTGACACCTTTCAAAGATGAGAGCCTTACTGTTTGAAATCATAATGACAATGTTATTACACAATAGGAAAACTTATTTATTTTATCCTTTTTTCAGGACAACTTGGTTACCATGCACGATGTGTTGGATGCCCAGTGGCAGTATGACCATAACAAGGATGAAACCTACCTGAGGAGAGTCATCTATCCACTAGAGAAGCTCCTTGTGTCACACAAACGTCTTGTTATGAAGGACAGTGCGGTATGGCTATACCTTTTTTTATTAAATCGGCCTTAGAGCTAATGATGTTTAAAGAAAAAATGCTGCGAAGCTAAAATGGAACTGTTTTTAGTTATTCAGTATGAATCATTTTGTCCTCTTTCATCTTATAAATGCTTTACTTACTGATCGAAGTAAGCATTGTCCCCGACTGTAAACAATTTCAGCTGTCGAGTTAGTTGTTAAATGTATAAATACTTGTCTTCTATCTTTTGAAGAAGGCAAACCACACTAGATTTAAGAATTCCTGAAATCAAAAGCATTTGCTATCATTTGAACATTCAAGTTAATGCATTTAAGGTCATCTTAGAGTGTGGGTGATTCTGGTCTATAGCCCAGCCCTTCCAGAATGGTTTGTGTTTCTTTGATCTTAGCTAAAATGTAAAACAAACTCAGTGGTAGGGAACACAAATCCATTCTAAACTGAAGATGAAAGGATGGCATTGCTCGTAGATGATCATTCAGCCTGATTTTTGTAGTGAATGGAAGATGCACAGTGTTGACAAGTGTCTTCCTTACAGGTCAATGCCATCTGCTATGGTGCAAAGATCATGCTGCCTGGTGTTCTCCGGTATGAAGATGGCATTGAAGTAAACCAAGAGATTGTTGTCATCACTACTAAAGGAGAAGCTATTTGCATTGGTAAGCAATCATCGGTTACCTACCTTTTCTTGGTTATTCTGCAAGGAAGCGGAGCTGGAATATCTGAAATGTTTGAAAATAAGATCCTGGCCAAGTGATGTTCAACAGATTGCATTAGCACTTGCAAAGATGACCATCTATCTATCACCCATGGCTGATGGCTCTGGAAAAAGTTAATTTTGGGATATCTCACAAAAAAGAATACTCCTTTTTATGTTTTTGGATTTGGTCATTTTTACTTCTAGCAATCGCCCTGATGACCACTGCAGTAATTTCCACTTGTGACCATGGAGTTGTGGCAAAGATTAAGAGAGTCATCATGGAAAGAGACACCTATCCTCGTAAATGGGGCCTAGGGCCAAAGGTAATGCTGAAACTTGTTTGGCTTCTTGTTAAACTGTGTACATAAAGGTTGCTTTAATTTTCTAATGCTGTTTTCAGGCAAGCCAGAAGAAAATGATGATTCAGAAAGGCTTGTTGGACAAGCATGGAAAACCTAATGGAAATACTCCAGCTAACTGGAAGGAACAATATGTAGATTACAGGTATGGAGAAAAGTTTTATCTTGTTCACAGCTGTAGTGTATGCATAGTTCTGGGTGATATATGTTTATGAATTTAAAACTGGCACACTTGTGTTCATATAATAGGTTATCATATTTCTCTAACTTTCTGAAGATAGCGAACTGTTTTCCCATTTATTAATTCTGCACCATAAATCTTGGTGTGTTCTTCAGTACTTCATTTAATTGAAATATTTTTCTCTGATTTAGAATAGTACTATTATCTAGTGTGGTACAGTTTACTGTGATCCCTAAACTTTCATTTGCAGATTATAAACAAGGATGAATTGCCAAAACATCAAAACTGTGTTGTGATGACACCCTATCCCCCACGTTGTTTTAGAGTTCCATTTTGTGTTTAATGACAATCTTTTCTATTTTTCAGTACGCCGAAGAAAATTGAAGCAGAACCAAGTGAACCAACTGCCAAGGTAGGCCCATTATTTTCTGTAACATGACGCAAGAAGGAGAAACTGCTTTTTTCATGGGACGTTAATATGCTTGAAATGTGCTAGTTGTATTTGCTTAAAGTAGGGCAACTTTTGCAGTCTAGCATATACTGGTCTTAACAAAATACGAACATGTTTTAACAGTAACTTAAGAATAAAGAGAGGCAGATGTGAAAACCAGAGAATTTATTTTTGGCAAGCTCAGTATTAGTCTCCCACAGGTTTTAGTTTTTCTCACAGGTTATGTCAGTGGTACCTTGATTGTAAGATTAATTCCTTAAGGTTGTGGTGGTTTGTTTTTCATGGCTTGCCTGCGTAGTAGTAGTAGAAGTAATTGATTTTTTTTTTTCTTCAGAGGAAGAGAGAAACAAGCGACAGTGAAAGCGATGGAACACCTGCCCCCTCTACACCTTCCGCTCCCAAAGCAGATGTGGAGAGTAAGAAAGAAAAGAAGAAAAAGAAAAAAGACAAGAAAATAAAACTTACGGAAGAAGCAGGGGAAGAAGAACCAGCTCCAGAGGTACAAGTCTGTGCTTGTAGGGAACTGTGTACAGAGCAAGAAAATTCTGGTCTAATTCTTCAGTGCTATGCATTGAAATTGATTTTTTTTCTCAGTATAATCCGTGATTTAAGATTATTTCAGGGGTTTATGTTGGTGTGAAGGCTAAAGCTTATTTAAATCCCTTAACAAATTGCGCAACTATGCCTGAGAAGTTTAGTCCTAACCTCTCCAGTGAACAAGATGTCATTGCATTTGTCAGTCTCGAATTTTAAATGTTTTAAATTTCATTTTCGTCATTCCAAGCTGCGACAAAGAAGCAGATGGTTATCCCTTTCTTGTCTGGTTATGTGGCTTTAGAGGGAGTTGGTCTGCAAAATTATCAAGAGGAAGCCTTCACAGTCCAGCATACTTCCATTGAATGGTGGACTTTGGCCTGCTCTACATTAGCTTTATAGTTAAGTTCTCACAAATAGGTGCTCACTATTTGGAGCTGCTTTTAAGTGTGATAGGTTTTATTTTCTGAGAAGCTGGTAGTTCCTTTATACATTGTGTAAAAACTTTGTACTAAATGTATAGTGAATGTCCAGCAGCACAAGATTAAGTAACATGATACCGCTTTGCTTATGTGGGTTTCATATAGATCTTATTACCAGTATCATTTTTGGATTTATGGTCATCACTCATGTGGGTTGTGTCCTGTCAGAGGTGCAGATTTAGATGTAGCGATGGAGTTTTTTTATACTGCAACTCCCAAACTGCTAGAAGAGTGCCATGAAGTGATTTGAGCCAGCTACCAAAATGATAATTGTAACTGAAAGTGATAATTATGCTTTTGTAAAAATAGCTAAAAGCAGTAATCAAAGCTGTGTAATGTAGTAATCCATTAGAAAAGAGGGGAAACCTTTATTATTGCTACTTCACCCAGTAAGTCTCAAAGTCTAAATGTTTAGAGGCCAGGAAAATGTGGAATTTAATAGATTTTCATTGGTTCTACTTCATTTCTTTTTGGGGGATAACATTAGTGATTACAACATTTTGATTTAAAGATGAAAGATTTCTTTCTCCTTTAAAATTGTGTCCATTAAGGTTTGACTGGCTGAAAGCATCATGTGTCAGGGCTGTGATGAATGATATTTGGGCTGTTGGTTTTTTTTTAATGAGGCAATCTTTTCCTTCCACCTCCTTTGTGCAGGAGGGTGAAAGCAGTAAGAAGAAAAAAAAGAAAAAGAAGCAGAAGGAGGAAGAAGCTTCTTCTGATTGAGATCTGGCATGAACCTGGAAAGGGTTTGACCATATTCCTCCAAGGAGTGAGGGAGAGAGTGCTTGAGAGATGGACTGCAAGATATTGAAGTTGGCACTCTGTGACTTGCAAAGGAAACCATCTTTCTTCCACCTTTATGAACTCTGAGTGATTGACTCAGTTGGCTATAGTGATTGCGATAATAGTTTCAAATTTCAGTTCAGTATTCTTTGAAGCTCTTTGCTTCTGGGTAAACCTATGATGATGGGGCATGTTTGATATTCAGGAGGATATACTGTGAACATCAATTCATCTGATGATTTTGGGGAGGATACCCCTCATACCAAAAAGCCTAAGCCGTCCATCTGGTTTTTTTATCATGATTTGTCTGGTTACCTGAATGAAACTATTAATGATGTAATCAGTTGTGGAGAAAGATGTTTTATATTATACTGTGTATTTTTGTATTGTAAATATTTGACAGCTGAAATTGAGTTAGTGAAAAGGTTGACCTTCATTCATGCAATGACTGGAGTCTGTTGACTAAAGCTTTGATTTATAAAAGTTTTTTTTAATTATGTGTTGGCTTTCTTTCTAAAGGCAAATGGGGAGAAAAGGTGTTCCCAAGACATTGTCCAAGGACACCCATCTGGAGTTGTGGAGGTTTAGAATTGTCAGTCATTTTGATGGTGCTAAAATGGGTAAACTTAACAAGGTTGGAGGGAGTACCACCAAAGGGTATTTGTCAGTAGTTTGGAAACAGTCATGTTTGTGTATGGTTTAGTATTGTGCGATTATGGGTTTCATTTATCTATTAAGGTGCTGAAGGTTTGAGATGTAGATTAAGGTTTGTAAATGCCCAGAATTATCGGTTTACCTTAATATCATGGTCAAAGTAAAAGGCTTACAGCCTGTTTCAGTGATCATGTAGTGGCTACATTTACAAGAACTCCCATACTGGGTTAAGCTTGTGGCCACTTGTTTTTATATGCAGTACTTAGCAGACTTTCTGCTAAATAAAACAAGACATTTTGTGGCTGGTCCAGTTGTTAAAGCTTGTTTCTTTTGTAAATTCTGAGGTTAGATTTTAAATAGGTCATTAGTTCTAGGCTCTGTGTTGAAATCACGTTAAAGGATTAATGTTCTGGACATTTATACATTTATAGGTGTGGTTATACATTTGAAAGCTGAAAGTCTTGAGACTTTACCTTCTGTGACTTTCTTAATTCAGTGTCATAACATGAATTAATTTCAGTACATAAGTGCTTGGTTTTCTATACTCACGCCTTTACATTTTGATCTTTTAAAAAAAAACATAATAGCATTTAATGCCAAAGCAAGGCTTCACATCAGGCTTAAATATAATTATTTAGTACATTATTTAGTAAAGTGATGTGGCTTTTGATGGTTGCACAGTGTAAACATCGGCAGTCTGAAGGCTAAGGTTTTAGAAAGTATTACTGAAATAGGGCAACTCCTCCAGATGTATTTTATCTTTACAACATTGACTAATACACAATTGAAAGTGGCCTCAAAATATTTTATTTAAATGCAAAAGTTACATGTGCATAATGGCATAAATAACCCCACACTTTAACCCTTCCCCTCCACCCATAAACAAACCTAAGTGCAATGGGATATTTGTCGGTATCCAAATAAGTCTACTGCAGATGCCTTAAGAGTAGAGCTAAATGAAAGTTCATATTGCACTATTTTAATATCTGGTACCCAAGAAATGGTAACACTTTTGGGGAAAAGCATTTTGACTTTAATACTGAAAGAAGTGTGAAGTTCCACATGCAGACAGCTGGGTATGCCATGTGTTTCATATGTTTTGGTGTAGGTATGAATATCTGCATTTTGCCTTAAGTTTAATTTGAACTGTCATAACAGGGAAACCACAGCTTGCAAGTAAAACTGAATTTTGATTATGGGCATTTTGCATTCCAAGTTATTGGTCTGAATATCTAAACTTGCATGTTATATTCTCTGGTTTTGTATATTGGTAGTATAATTGCAATGCCTTTCAATGTGCATGCATGTAAACAGGCACACAATGCATATAACCATGTTTTTGTTCTGAATAGTGAACAGCTGTTGCCTTAATTATGAAATGGCTAGCTGAAAGGTACAGTTTCCCATTTTCTACCCTTAAAACGTTTACTTCGATGTACAAAATTTCACTCTTAAATCTTCCCTGAGCATAGGCTTTAGGAAGGTAATTTACTAGGAGATCAATTGCTCCATCTTAAATCAAGCATCACTGGTTAATATTTCAAACTATAGTGCACATTTTTCAATATTAAACCTGCGATGGTGATAGCGGGCAGGTACTTATTTAATGGGGAAGTTCATTACAAATTATGAACTAAGGAAGACTGTTCACTGATAACCTCGAGTAGGTTGAGTTACTGATAACTGATGCATCATCTTGTTAAAATGATTTGTTGGCTAGACCCTAAAAGATAAAACCACACTTGGCGATAAAATCAATGGCACTATTTTTGCTAAAATCCAAGAATCCATCTTAAGAATCCTACACTTTGGCCAGAACGAAGGGGTGGGAAGGGACACCTATGTTTTGCCTTGCAGCAATACTACACAAACATTTCTACACTACAACTTTCAGGGCTACTTTTACTCTTCACTGCACTATCAAGAAATATGTTTAAAATCCAGAAACATTGACTGGCTTTTTTTTATGAACTCCTAATGTCCATTCTTATGTAAGGTGGCATGTATGTTAATGAAAGTAAGAAACCGTTAACACTACTGTAATTTTTATGTGTGAATGCAAATGTTCTCCAAGAACACAAACATTTTAGATCAGAACAGTGACTATAAATTGGTCACTTGCTTAGAAAAAATGAGTTGGTTTCCTTTGTGACTTGACAGCAAAGGTGCAGGACAACAACAGCAGGTTCAACCGCAAACCACTTCGCTAGTTCATTGCCCACGGCTTCCCTCAAGCACCAGAGCAAAACGGGCTAGTGCTGTTGGGGATGGGGTTGGTTCTCAGTGACTAAGTGGTGACCCCTGTGGCCACCCAAGAGGGACGCGTCTCTCCTTCAATTGGTGCTGAACTTTCAGATACGGGCTATAGAGCCTGTGCCAAAAGATTAATGGCTTAAAGGTGGGTGCTTCAAAGAAGTAGGCCTACACAATTTCATTCTCCCATGTGAGGTTGCAGGTTTGTTAATGGTAACCAAGACAAAAAATAAATTCTGAATCAAGTGGGTATAACATTTTAAAAAGTGATGGGAGTCAGTAAGGATCTTAAGAAAAGGGATTCTGTACCTCCAGAGGTCTGATTTACTGTAGGAGTTACTGGGGTTGGGGGTATTTTGTAGACAGGGGTGTGCAGTCAGTAAACCCAGGACACTGGCACCCACTGGGGAGTGGAACTAGCACGCTCTATGGCTGCCTCCACACCCTTGACACTCTCGTCTACATCATTGTTCACCAGTGTCACATCAAAATAGTGTCCGTATGTGCTGAAGATGGCATCTGATTCCTTCTGGATCTGCTGCAGAGACTCTGACTGAAAGATGAAAGATATAACAGCTCATTTTGGATAGGCTCAGGCCATGCATCTCGCACAAACACGCTAAGATTCTACTCTGAACAACTGTAAAATGAGGGGGGGGGGATCTTCTAAACACACCAATAACAGTTGGTTAAAATAACTGCATCTGTAAAATTATCAGTGTTCTCTTTCATTTACCAGGAACTAGAAAACTGATTTTAGTCAAATCTAATTTTAAACAAGTCAGATTTTAGCTGAAACGTACTTTACAGGCTAGTTTTGTTTTTTCAGTTGTGCTTTGTGTTGATTTTGTAGACCTGTTTGCAAGTGTTTTTTTAAAGTATGTTGACGTGTATGGTTTAGTGAGCCTGTTAAGGTAGTTTTAATGGTTGTTTTTTCAACCCTCACAATGAGAACCTTTCAATCACCTGCATTGCAACATTTTTGCTCTTCTTCTGTTTCAATGGTGTTAAATTATACTACTTTTCTTTGAAATAGGCACCTGCAGTTTCCTTATTAGTTATAACTGCATTTACTGTTACTTTAACTTCCACTGTTACTCAAAACAATTGATCCAAGCCTGCTTTTATAAAACAATTAACACTAGATAAGCTTGATGTTTATCATGGAATCTCTTGCTTAGATTTTTAATGACTTTGGTAAGACTAGTTATGAAATGTTTTAACTTACCTGGCTGGCAGCAGTAGTTGGAGCAATAAACACTACAAGAGGTGCAAAATCTGCTGTTCGAAGGAGTTTCAAAGTCTGAAAACAAAACAGATGCTGTTCTACACAACCTGATGTCACAGGTGAGTACTGCATCAGCAGGGCCTAACCAGGGAAACTAAGGCAGTATTTCCATACTAGGGGGAGTAGTTGCTCTAATACCGATGGCCACCGCTGTAAGTATTCCTTACACTTCCACCATTGAAAAGCTGCAATGCTTGGCTTTAGCTTGTGAATTAATTGCAGTTAGGTTACAGAGGTAATTAACAGCGTAATATGTTCAACTGTTTAAGTTAAGCAACCAACTACATGTTCCTGGTCTAATTATTATAATAGACAGTTTTGAAAACTTTAATTCCAAAAGCATCCGATTTACATTTAAAGGTCTGATAAAAGGTCAATAACACCTAAGTATGGAATGAGTAAAATGGCCTTTGGTTTATGGCCATCTTTATGCTGTCTGCTGCAAATATACAATGAAGAAAACTTCAAGCCCTCTAATATAGTGTGAAAGTATTTTAACAACTTTCAGCAATATTTCACAATATTTCAGTGCCATACCTGAGGCTCGATGTCCAGGACTGCGATTTTGCCCTGCTCATGGATTTTGTTGATGGTTTCAAATTTGGTGCCAAACATGTGGCCCTGGAAGCTACCATACTCCAGAAGTTCATTGTTGGTGATACATTTTGTCATCACCTCATTTGAAATAAAATAATAGTCTTTTCCATTTTCTTCATCTTTCTTCTGTGGTCTTGTAGTATCTGGAACAGTTTGCAAAGAAAGCACAGTTTTGTACAGTAAACATTTAATTTACTTCTGCTGACTGATTCCACATATTCCACATGAGGGAAAGAGCTGTCAGTATACTCTCTTGTGGAAATAACACTGCTTTTGAAGATACTAAAGAGGCCTGTAAGAGACTAGTGTCTAGATTCAAGAAGGTAAGGAAATGGCTGTTGCTGTGTCAGAGGTGCCAGTGTTTGGCATGGAGAATCATCACAGAAAAAGTCTACCAGGTTTAGAATTAATGTAAAAATAGAAGTTATTCTGAGAGCTGAAGTGGGCCAGCTAATAGGTCTTTGTGACATGGCAAACTGCAAGGTATCTTGAGATTATATAATGAAGGATGCCCTGATTAGTTGACACTGATACTGCCCAGGTGGGTTGGCTCTTTTTCTAGGTCCAGTAAAGAAGTACATTACTGAGAAACAGGATTGAGATAGAGTGAATGGAAACATTGTGACAGGAAAAGGGAGGTGCTATTTGGCAAGGTAACTGTATCTACTTGCCCCAGATAAGTGAAAATTTAAGATTAGACACCATGTGGAAAATTATGCAGAGCAATCCACACTAACAACTGGAGCTGGAGGAGTGGCCTAAATTGAAAGGGGTAGTATTCTGGGGATGGAACGGTGTTTGTAAAAGAGATCAGGTGATTCAGAGTTAGATTTAATACCATTATGTCCAATTGTGATAGGTATTCAACGGGAAAACCTTAAGACAGGGAAATAGATGATAGTGTAGGTAGGAGAGACACTACAGTGCCTAGTATAAAAGATGACAAGGAAAAAAAAGTGAGAATATTCTGAGCTAAAGGGTTAAGAGTTGGGAGAGAACAGAAAGGGAAAATTTGCTTTAGGAATGATTCTGCTCTTACCTGGTGTAAGAGCTATGATAACCACTAAAGAGCAAAAACGTGAATGTAGTGTAAGATGGTAAGAATGCTGAAATGTCATCTGACAAGTTAGCATGAGTCATGGAGTCTGAGTCTTTTAAATAGCTCTAAGATAAATAATCACAAGATTATTTGGGATTAGAGTTTCCAATCAGAATTAATTGTATACATAATTATGGGATGAACTACTAATTTTCTAATGGCAAATTTAAACGACTGGTGGAATACAATATAACATTTGTATTTTAGAACAGGTTTTTTAAATCCTTTCAAGGTCTTTAAATTTGATATTCTTCAACAGGAAATGTGTTGCTCTTGCATTAATATCATTAATTTATGTGCACATCTTTTCAACTCTGTATTAAACAGACACAATTTGCTGTTTTTTTCATGCTGCAACCTCTCATTATTTAGAAATAGTCCGAGAGAATGTTTTAAAAGTTAGAAACTCATCATTCAGCTTTGCACTTATTAAATTGACAGATATTTCAAACAATACTTACGAGGTGGGGGGTAGGCAAATTTTTCAGGGTTTTTAGTAAGTAAAGTGCTTTTGATATGGCTTCGTCCTACTCCAGGAGCACCTGAATAGAACAGTAAAAAAAATCATTAATAAAAATAATGATATTTTTCTTATTTTACAATAGATAGTAAAAGAAGTAACTTTACTTGCTGTGTTAAACTTTGTCGGCTTCCTGTGAGTTTTTTTTTAAAATACTATGACATCCCGGAGAATTTTTAACTTTAATGCCGTGCAACTTTTAGGACAGAATCTCAGTAATATTGGGTTTCAAGCCCTTGCTGTAAAGCATTGGCCACTTAAAAAAGGGTTGAAAATGGGGAGAAGGAGCAGGTCAGTGTAGTTATGTCCTAGATTCTCTAAGTGCATTGTTTATGTAAAGAAACATGTCTGGCACTACAAAAGGCAATTCTGGGATTATTGCACACAGTAAGTAGCACATGTGTGATCTCTTGAATATAACTCATTGGCTGCTCCAAGACTGTGCACTGTGGTACATGAACTTACCTATCAGAACCAGTGTTTTTCTGTTGAATGCAGGGAGCTTCACAACCTCCTCATAGGAAATGACATCTAGTTGGTCAAAAACTGGCATTGAAAAAATAAATTAAAAAATGAAGATTGAATTCACATTGGTAATGTATTAATCCAAGCACTAATAATCCACACAAGTAGAGAGTGACTTCAAGGAAATCTGTTGAAAGTACTGATCTTGAAAACTCCCAAAAAACACTGTCTAGTGCACTAAAGAATACTGATGTAGCGGCCATCGTAACTTCTGATATTGTATTACAGTGTAGACACCCTAATTCTGATTTGAGTTTCACCTTCCAATAAACCAAAACCTCAATTAATTGAGCACTTCAAAAGCTCAAGCTAGATCTCTGCGCAGGACTATTTTGTTCCTGCCTGCTCCCATAATATATTCTATTTCAAATCCCAGGCTGTCCCTTAATACCACCACCATAACCTCAGAATAACCCACTGCAAGGCTCTAACTCTAATTCACAATTTCAGCATTGTAGGCATATTCAAGTTAAAAAGCACATGAAACTTCTAAACAGGCAATATGCTAAGGAAAATTAGTTAATCATGCACAGCTTTAATGTTACATGATAGATCTTTTCAAAAATTTCCTTCTAGGAAGTGCATTGTGTAAATGCAATCCCTAACAAAATCACAGTCCTCCCTGCTTAGAGCACTGTACTCTGTAAAGTTTTTGAAGCATATGAAAAGTTTATACATTTCTACATCATATAAAGTGGGACTGCAGTATTTACTGAAAAGGGCAATAATTGGCTAAATGAATGTGAATAATAACTCCCATCCTGGAGTTCCTGCACTGGCTTCCTGTCAAATTCCATGTGGACTTTAAAATCCTCATGGACCACCTATAAGGCTCTGCATGGCTGAACTATTATCATGTCTGAACTATTATCGTCCTACTCCTCACCTCGCAACCTTCGCTCTTCTGATTCTGGTCTCCTAACTGTCTCCCAAGCCCATCTACATTCTATAGATGACAAGGCCTTCTGTTATGCCCCCAAGCTACGGAACTCTATTCCCAAGGATATCAGAGAGTCACCCTCTCTAAACTCCTTCAAATCCAGACTCAAAACCTTCTTCTTTAGAAGAGCCTTTACTTAACTGATTCCATTCTTTACCCCTCTG